AGCCTTGACTGTTACATATGACTTTTAAAAATGTTTTTGACACCTGTATTAGGTTCAATTTCAACATTACACAGGTGGCCAAACGGTTAATTTTCAAAATGTGGATGTGTGAATGACATGTGAAGATCTCTCTTTCATGGACAACAATCACAAATAACTAATGAGGTTATCATATATGCTAATCATATATTTTGCACCTGCTTTTGCTCTGGTTACACAAAACTTCTCATCAAGATTTGCACTTTGATTTGGTAGACTTCCATTTATCAACACATGTCCTGTTAAATCAGGTAATTTTGCGTGATGATTCTTATTTTGTATGCCCCGTGCTCTGGGTGTCCCTGCTAGTTTGGACTAGATGATCTCTAGAGGTTCCTCCCAACCTCAACTGGTCTGTTATTCTGTGATTCTGTGATTCATGGGTAAATTCATAATTTAAGACTTTTTACTGGGCAGGGCTCTATAAAGAAAATGCATTCAAATATCTTCAGTGTGCATCTTCAGCTGTCATCTATCTTCACCACAGTTTTTACAATAATTAGGTAAAATATTATGTAAACCACTCAGACATAAAGCTAGTATTTCCTAGGAATAGGATATTAAAATAGCTTATCTGGCACTGAGGCTTTGATTCAGATAGATCTTGGCTCATACTCTTGAACCACATCTTCAACTACAGAATGTATATATATATATATATATACCTTCAAAACCTCGAAAAACCCAGAAAAAATTGTTATTCTCTTAAAATAAAGAGGAGGTGAATTGAAATATAACTGTAGGTCAATATTAAAGTGCATATGAAGAACAGGGTAAGGCAAAGGTCAGAAAAAAAAACTTCCACTTACAAATTCCACTTACAAAACCCACCTTTAAAAAGAGAATAAATATTGTATTTTACTCTCCCAGGGTCAAAACGTGGCCTAATAGGCCCAGATACGTAGGTCAGCTATTCATTCTTTATTCAGGCAGGCTGCTTTTACCAGGGATCAGCCCGAATCAAAAGTGAAAAGAAGCGCAGCTGTTGAGCAGTAAGAAACTCTGACTTAAATTCAGATATTTCATGGAAAAATAAGTCTTCTCGGTTTTTAGTTGCCCAATAGCTTTTATTTTCATTTATTCTGCACTAAAAACTCTGTAGGAAAATTCTTCAACAGCTTTTTCATAGCTACTATTTATTTTTACCAAATGTATTTTGAAAGGTGAAAACCTCTATATTTATACTTCTACAACATGTCTTTATTATGATTTCCTGAGCTTTAGCAGTTTGTTAGGTACTGAAGGAAATATAAAGGAAGGTATTAGTCCTGTCACAAATGTCTTGTGTTTACCTGTGTATCTGGCATTCCTAATATCTAGTAAACTTGGATTATTCCTTCTGTTTCTGTCAGTGGGACAGTGGGAAAAGCACTTCTTGGCAAGGACAAAGGATACAAGATTTGGCTTTGTGCTATATTGACTTGCTCTGATGGAGGAAGTTTGGAATATTTTTAATATTTGAATGATGGTAGGTAGATAAATTTTAATAAAAAGATGAGGGGGGAAACCTGAAAACAAAACAGGAGACTTTGATAAACAAGACCTCGGAAGAAGAGGGGAAGAAAAAAAAAGGAAAAGGAAAATAGGGCTGTTTAAATGGCTGCAGAGATGGAAAGGTAGAGACGAAAACTGAGAGGTTTAGGTTTGTCAAGAGCAGCAGGGAAGAGTGACTACTGGAAGACGTGGAAATCAGTGAAAGTCAATGAATGACAAAAAATGGCACAAGAATGTGTCTTTCTAGAACGACAAATGTTTTTCAGAAAACTGATAAGATACTTAGGAGCACATTTCATTCTGAAAATTTCATGCAGAGGAAAGAAAATAAAAGGTGGAATTGCAGAGACATTGTTGGAACTATGGCATCTAGTTCAGCCAAATGGCAAACAATAGCAATTGCAGTGTGAGTCAAGATCTGCAGGACAGAGCTGTAAAACTGAGGGACAGAAACAGAACCTAATTAGAGAACGCCAGGTAATAAAAAGTAGTTCAGAGAGGAAAAGGAAAAGGAAAAGGAAAAGGAAAAGAAAAAGAAAAAGAAAAAGGAAAAGGAAAAGGAAAAGGAAAAGGAAAAGGAAAAGGAAAAGGAAAAGGAAAAGGAAAAGGAAAAGGAAAAGAAAAAGAAAAAGAAAAAGGAAAAGGAAAAGGAAAAGGAAAAGGAAAAGGAAAAGGAAAAGGAAAAGGAAAAGGAAAAGGAAAAGGAAAAGGAAAAGGAAAAGGAAAAGGAAAAGGAAAAGGAAAAGGAAAGAGAAAAAGAAAAAGAAAAAGGAAAAAGAAAGAGAAAAGGAAAAAGAAAGAGAAAAGGAAAAAGAAAGAGAAAAAGGATCCTATGCAATATTTGCTTATTGTTTAAATTTAAGCACAAGATGAAAATTTTGCTCAGCTTGAACTGAAATGTTTGGGCACTTCCTGTATCAAAAGGGATTGTTTTTCATGCATCTGAATGAATGAGTATCTATTAGCACAGAAAAAAAAAAAAAAAAAAAACTGTGCTGATGCTCTGCCAATGTCCCTCTTCTAGCTTTTATTTTTTAAAATGATTTTGCAATGTCAGATCCAAAAAGACAAAAGAGTACGGATCACAAAATGCTATGTTCCTATAATATGTCTGAAAAACAAAAGCTGAAAGGAGACACTCTCATTAACACTATCACCGTAAGAAAGGCTTTAGCCAGTGATTCCTGTTGGTCTGTTAGTTAAACGATCAGCAGCGCCTTAATACTGGCAAGTTAACAAGCACATTTGTAAACTTTGGACTCACTGCAACACTGGCTGCTACATGTCCTACCACAGCAAAATTTTTAAAGGAGTTCAGAATTATGATGCAAATTTGTAAGTAAATTGGCTTTACTATTTCTTCTTCTCATAGAGAAATTGATGAGAATGGGATTTAAAAGGTTGGCTGGGATACTGGAATATGTGGAAGGCTCATTTTAATGGAAGAATTGATGAAATGCCTGAATTCCTAACATCTCAAAAAGCCATGTATAAAGCAATGAGCTTCGACAAATTTACTATCAGGTTATACATGCTATAAGATAAAGACAAAAAAAAATATGAAAATGGAAGAAGAAATATCTTAAGAAGCACAGAATCACACTAACTAAACCTAATTACTATTTTCACTGAAATTGCATGCAGAACCAATGACAAAGAGAACAGCATGACCTTGCACACCACCTATATCACTGAGTAACAATGAGTTTTTATTTTATTTCATCTTTCCCAGTGACTTCCCTTGCATCTCTTAACAATTAATTTAATTTGTTTATTTTTGTTTTGAGAGAATTAAGGTAATTATACCAACTTATCAGCCTTATACCAACTTATCAGCCAACTTATCAGCTGGGTTTTAAGGTTCTCTCTCCCAAAGGTTTACTCCAGGACTTTCAAAAAATTCTCATCTTTTCCTCATTACTTTCTCATTCTCATTCCCTTGTATCTCTTAACAATTATTTTAATTTGTTTATTTTTGTTTTGAGAGAATTAAGGTAATTATATCAACTTATCAGCCTTCCCAGAATGGTAGGATTCACTTCTCTGATTAATTTTTATTTTGATTTTAGGCATAACATCTTTGTTTGGTCTTTGGAGCTATGCTCTGTGTGTATCAAGCTGAGTAAATTATAGCATTATATACTGCCAGTATTAAAAGACAATGAAATATTTCTAAGAACCCATAACTAGAGCTCCAGGAAGATCCAGGTCCATATAACAAACTGCCGAACTGCACCTATTTTATTACTTATAATTATTGCATTTGCCTAACCCTGTCACTTCAATATGCATTAAACATCTATCCACTCTGTTTTATAATCTCTTCTGAACAGTCTGTGCCTTTCAGCATTTAACTCCTGCTTATTTTATTTTCCCATTGATTTACCTGTCTTATTTACAGGAGCTTCCTTTTATCACCTTAGAAATGTTTACATAACTTGCTCCTTTGGCTGTACAAAACTGAGGAGGAGGGGGATTCTTATACTGCAATTCTCACAGTTCTTATTCCTCAATTAGTGACTGATAAAAACAAGACTCTTTTTCAAACATGTTTAGCATATGTAGCATCAGTGAACATGGAAAAGCCCTTAGACTTATTGGAAAAGTATCCCAAAATGAACGCCACAAAAACCAGTAGTCTTAGAACGTTGAAGGGGGCAGCTCAGAAGGCTATGCAAAATTTGCAACACAGTTCTGCAAGAAAGGGAGTCTGGGAGGCATCTCACCCATTTTTGTCATAATAGGCGGATACATCCTGGTGCTGTTATTATTATTAGCTGGGTTTTAAGGTTCTCTCTCCCAAAGGTTTACTCCAGGACTTTCAAAAAATTCTCATCTTTTCCTCATTACTTTCTCATTCTCAGAAGCTTAATTATTAAAGGAAGTGCAGTTGTCCTCTACAGGACTTATCACTTCTTTGGATGCCCAGGGAGGTTTGCTGGATGCATTATGAAGCACATATTTCTCTGGAATGGAGCTCATGCTGTTCCCTTCACGGTTCCGCCTTTTCAAAGTCCTAAACTTTAGGGTTTAACCTTGGATATGGATTGATGTTTCTACCTACATTTTTACCTGCCAATAAAAGTCGCCATTTATCTTTCTTAAATTTCATGCTTTTTACTTTAATGCACATTATAAAATATTTCAAAGACATTTTATCACTCAAAACACACTTTATTCCACGTGCAAGCTCATAAGACAGATTTCTTTTTCAGGTAAGCTTCTGATTGCCATAGATAATTGTATATGCTTCCCACAGGCCAGTGTCATCCTCTCTCCTTGCAGACCTTTAGCAACCACCTACCTTTCTGACTTACTCAAAAGCCAGAGACATAAAGATTTTTCAATGGTAAAACCACTGTGAAACCTTATTACAGCAGTAACTCCAAAGGAAGACCATTTTTTTGATGTTAGGTAACATTGACATAAAATAATTTTAGATGCTTTGATAGAAACCCTGGGCCTACCTGCAATGTACAACCATGGGTCCAGCATCAGGCGGATTACAGGTTTTGACTCGTCGCAGGAAAGCTAAGAATGGTGTAGGGTGTTCGGGAACACCGTGGTCAGGCCAGGCAGTGAACTGGAATTGCCTCACTTCCCTTTTCTCACTTGAACCATTCTGTGAAATAGAACAACTTCATGAAAAAAGGACGATTTGGTGTAATGTTAACACTTTTGAATGAGATGACTAAACAGCCAGGAAAGAACACTTAAATCACACCAGAACTACAGAGAAACTCAGCACTCAGCTCTGACTAAGGGGAAATATCTGTTATATTCTAAATTGCAGGTTTTATGGCTCAAACAACATAAAGATTTTAGCTATACTGCACAGTAATGCAGTACAACAAGTGCCGGTGCCTCAGCTAATTTTTCATTTTTAAAAATACATTCTGATAGCAGAAGAACTATTTAATTCTTCAGCACTGCCAGCAGGATCAAGATTTAAATAAATCCCCAATAGACCTGATTTCATAAAAACAGATTTGTGTTGAAAATAAAAAGAGAGAGAGAAAAAGGAGAAAAAAAAAAAGAAAGAAAAAGGAAAGGAAGAAAGGAAAGAGGAAGAAAGGAAGAAAGGAACAGGAAAGAGGGTAAAAAGACAGAAATGACATACTTTGTAAAGTGCAAATGTACGAACGCAATATGTCGCCAATTCAACAGTGTCTAAGAGGGTCACTTGGATTAGACCATAAGTTTCTGTGCCTCTGCTTGGCCAATACTGATCACACTTTACCTGCAGTGAAAAAAAAAAAAAAAAGTAATTATTTCCTATATTAATGGTATCATTTGTTACATACTCATACGAATATTTCTACAAGCTTTTAAAGTATGTGGAATGATTCTACAACGATTCTATAGTAGATATATTTATATAGTATAGTATTTGTATACAGTTAGCAGAGTATAGTATTTGTATACAGTTAGCAGACAATCAGAAAATGCCCATAAGTATCTACAGCTAAAGAAAATTCAATTTATAATGGGTAAAGATCTGACCCAAGTCTGCATAATTCCCCTTTTATATTCCAGAATTTAATAACAACACTAATCCAGTAATGCCTGATATACGAGTTTTGAATATTTGTCATATTTCATCTATTTTGAACATTTCATACTAGTCTCAGTACATATAAGCTGGTCTTCTGATGTTAATAGGAAACACACTTAGTATGTATAGAAATACGTCTCAGTGAAACACTGAATTCATTTGGTGAGAAGTAATTTTAATAAACAAATAAAATAGCATGAAAAAATATCAAGTATATCATGAGAAAATATAATTTCCTTCTCAGTTCAGTGTTATGAAACATATAAGGAAATTGCATTCACAGACATTTAAAAAACATGGTTTGATAGAGTTCATCAAATTTTAAAAGGAACAGGACATTTATTTCAGAGATGTCTCCATCTCAAAACTCTGCTGCTCAGAATATTAACATGCTGAAAGAATTCTGTAAAAGATGACGCATAATAGAACCATATGTTTATCATATTTTCTGAGGCTTGATAATATGTTTCAGTTAAAAATACTATTTAGGATGTAAACTACTATGGAAGAGGAATGCTGATCCTCTAAAACAATCATATTTCAGTGACAGGTATGTAGAACAGAGACAGGCAGTTTCATATGGCTGTTGAGAATATAAATTCTCATCTCTATATTCAGCAGAAAAACCTCTGATCATTTAAGAAGGTTATCTGTAGATGTAAAAAACTGAAACATACTTTATATGAAATGATTGCTTAAGTAAGAAGAAGCAAAATAACAAGATATTTGCTGATATTTGATTTGTTCCACAAACTTTAAAATGTAATTAATAGCATGTATAATTAATATTATGATACTAACAGAAATTAGATAATTCCTGATGACATTTTCTGAAACACTGAAAGAATAAATATTTGCAATAATTCACGAATATCAGTGGTTAATTTGCTGGATTCTCAAAGCTGAAAGAAACCACTGTGTGTGGCCTTCCACAAAAGAGACAAAATGGTACATGTTCAGCTGAGTTAGTTTATTATAGCTGTATTAAATCTAGTTTCACTTTATCATCAACATAAACACAGTATAACTTGGTTAGCTGTATTTTTGTCAAACAAAATGTGGCCTAGACATATTTCTTGTAGGATGATATCTTATATTTCCTCATGGAAAAAAAATGATACATAAAAGCTGTTTTTGTAATCTTATCAACCCCAGTTTTTGTATAAACCTCTGACTAAACCTATTTGGGTCTGGACAACTTTAAAAAAAGATGAATAAAATTTAAATAAGTCTTAATACTACCTTTAATTAAACGAGTATAACACATGAATTTCTTGATGTGTTTTTGCACAACAGAAAACATGTATCTCCTCTTCGACCCTCAGAAAGCTTCCGCTTACAAATCAGACACCTGTAGAAGCAGTGACAGCTTCCAGAAAGCCTTAGAAATCATCCATCTTTCTCACTGAAAATACTTGATAAAAGCAGCTTTGGAGTGTAAGAGAGAAATTTATGTTCAACATTAAAAAAAGGAATTGTATAAGTTAAATAAGTACAACATCTTTAAAAATACTTGTTTATGTTTCCTCATCCTTTCATCATGGCATCATTTAATGCTATAACCAACAGGTAATAATTTTGCAAGATGTTTATTCTCCAGGTTCAGATATTTTCTAACACATTTCCATCTGTAACACTATTTGTAGAAACACTACTGGAGATGTAGAAGAGAGACGCAGGAAGCACAGTAACCTAATGTTAAACTGATATTCAAATTTAAAAGCCTGTTCTAGACAAGAAAGTTGTTCCTTTGTGAACTGGAAGAAAATTAACATGCATGCTCTTTTCTATTAGGTGTATATTTTACTTTTTTTTCATCTGCTAGATCTCTTAATCAAAACTCCAACCATTTTGCAGATATTCCAAAATATTTTCTGTGAAAGCTAGTTGACGCAGAGGCTTTCTGCTGGAAGGCAACATTAACTGTTTCCATAAAAACACAACTTCTAGTCTAGAGCATTAATTATTTTTAATTGAAAAATGATGAAAATAAGTAGCAATGTTTTTTAGACCGAAAAAAAATGATTTGGGACTTACTAGGATTTGATCTTCCAGACAAGAGCATACGAAGTATAAGTTGATGGAAATAAATCTCTTTTTTCCTTTTGGTCCTTTTCTCAGAACAAGAGGTCTTCCTGAAAGATGTGCCCATACCTGCCTCCCACACTCTTGCACTCTGCGATCATAAAGCTTACATTCCCAATACTCCTAACAATTTAAAGTTCAATTTATCTTTGTAAGAGATTAGAAGGAGGTTTTTCATTAGACTTCATCAGCAGAATATCAAATAAAATAGCCCACTTGCTGATACGCAGCACTTATTTTTTCAGAAGATTCATATGTTGTTTTTTTTCAGATGAAAAATTTCCCAAACCTCTCTTGTTATCAAAAATTTAGTAATAAATTTTGAAAATGTTTTCCCCTCTTTTTTTTTTTGTTTTAGCTCTTTGGTCTGTGCCTAGCTTTCTTGTAGAAAAGCAATTTATTTCTCATTCATTTATGTTATTTGGAAAATAGACAATTTTAATCTGTTAAGGCATGATGATGGTAAAGTACTTCCTCCTCCAGAAACACACACTACAGAGTTTATTTATTTACAGAGTTAGTTCATAATACGCCTTTGGTGGATTCCATGGTCATCAGCCTCTTATCCATCAATTCCCATTCCCAAGTGCTGATCTTTTTTTTCCACAGAGTGTATTCACATTTACCCCATGAAAGCTTTGCTGTCCCCCGAACATTCATAAAGAAAACAGCTTTCACCAGTAATTCTCTAATGTTTGCTTGTCTGTCATTAATGATGGCAAGATGAATGAAATAAATACATCAGGAGGAAGGTACTCGCTGTTGATTTCCAAGTGCGCTTTTTAAAGACAAACTCAATTACAAGTAATGACAGGCCTACCACTTAATTCTGCTTTCACTATCTCAACATGATAGGTTGCATATTGCCAAAATCGCTTTTTCTGGGATGAGATTAGTTCTCAAAGGACTAGTGAATGTATTATGAAATCTCCTAAGACCTTGGTAACAGCTGTAACTAGAACACATAAATAATGATAGGCACATTCTTTTAGCCTGAATACCCTCTGCTCCTCTAACATAAACACATTTTCTTTCACTACAATTCTTCTACACAGATCATCCAAATCCTTGCTTTTCATGGAATTATGAGCATTCACTGTAAGAAAATCAGTAAGAAAATGTAAATGCTTTCTTCTTGATTAAAAATGAGAAGACTGCGACCATTTCAGACTTGAGGAGTTTAAATATCTACAGAGTCCCTAAAAGTATTCATGGGGTATTCACACTTCAAGAAGTCACAGACACTACAGAGGGTGCTGTCTTGCATCAACAGAGCTGAAAGAAGCATATTTCCATATGAATATAAGCATACAAAAAATTCCTGACATTCAAGGGTAAAGAAATAATTTTCCAGTATAAAGATCTACCATTCAGGCTGAAAAACTCCTTCAGCTTATTCTTAACATGTGAGCCAGCTGTTCCAGCCCATCTGAGATTACAAGGACAAAATGCAGTTCAGGAAAGAAACAGAAAATGGATAAAAGGCAGATTCATATGATATATCCATTGCTGTGAAATCAGCATGTAAATTATATTAAATCTAGAATAAAAAATAACAACATTATATAACAAACTTCTTTCCTTCACATTAATATTCTTTCACAGAGAAGAATTCCCTAAGAGATTTTCAGATGGTCTTGCTTCAGAAAGAAGATATTTCTGAAATGATGCTGAATTATGCTAATAAATGTGCTATAGTATTTTATATATATATATAAATATAGATTGATACAGATAAAGACAGAAAGCAGTGTTCCCAGTTATTCAAGGAAGTTTCGCCTGAAACTCTAAAAGGACCAGATTGGTGCCTTGTGCCATTCAGGACATGTTTTTTCTTCAAACAGTTGCCACTCTGAAGTCATTTTCCTTTTCACAACAATGCCTTGCCCTCTAAAGATTAGGGTGATGTCAGTCTCAAAATCACAGAAGCTGATTTTAGTACATGAGATTGCAATGCAACAATTTTAATCACATATTTGTTTAAACACATATTTGAGGCTGTATTGGAGTAAGATTTGGCCAAATATCGCTCACTGAGTACACGTGAAGATATTACATCAGCACCCTACAGGTTGTATCATCATTCAAAAAGTTCACCTAAACTAGGTATTTTGAGTTTAAAAATGGGATAAGAAATAGGCACCTCTGCAGTGTGAAAAAATCTATTTTCAATCTTAGTTATAGCATCTTGAAATAGAAGTTCAAAGCATGATTTAGAAATAACATAAATGAATTTTAAGCTAATCAACTTAGAGTAAACTTTAGTCCTGTAGTAAGTCTGAAAATCAAGACTCATTACATTCTTACTTTTCAAAATTTTTGAGACATGATTAGTAGGCTAACAGTTAATACGAAGAGATAATTGATAATTAAAAAGATAACCCCCAAACTATTTCCAGTCCAATCCTTAAGACTGAGTGTAGCACGGTTATTAAAACAAAAGGAAAATGATATTAAAAGGAATCTTGAGCATGCTTTAAAATCAATTCTCTTATCTCAACTTTCATTATCATCATTATCTATACAAGCCAAGAATAGTTTAAAACTGTAACACTAGCATCAACGAAAAATGCCCTTTTTGAACACTTCCTAGCAGCAGGAAAGGCAAGATCTTGGTGAACCACAGTAATAGAGAGATTTTGAAGAATGCATCTGTCAAACAGTTAAGTACAACAAGACTTTCCAGACAGGTAAACCCACCAATCTGAAGCATAAATAAAACTCTTTCAAGCAAAATGTATATCATGCAGTTGATACTGACTGCTAAGATCCCCTGGAAAAAACAGTCTTTTATCAACATCTGGCTTGAGATGAAAATAACTTGAAACTGATGGAAAAGATTCTCTGCGAGAGACTATTTCACAAAGAATATTCTCATTCACATAGACCTTTCTGAAAAAAAAATGAGTTTTTCTGAGGTATTTCTTACCACAAATAAAAACTGGTCTTGAGTCTTTCAACAAAATCTTCCACGTAAGTCAATTTGGGGCTATTTTACTGAAAATTTCTCTGTTAGTTTACTGACTCTTTCAACACTGAGATTCCTGAAAAACTATCCTGAGTGTAGTCATAGAGTGCAGTACTAAAAGGAATGATAGTTAATCATTATGACTAGAAAAAGAAATATAAAGTATTTCCAGGCTTGAAAAGAAAGGTGACAATTTCCATACTCTTCATGTGGCATAGTTTCTCTTTGCTCAATTAAGAGACTAGGTAGTGCTGCATCTTTTACTTCAAAATTTAAAAAAATAAACAAGGCAAACAAAGACAAATTATGCAGTTACAGTACAGTTTTGATTACACCACTTGCTACACAGATGCCTCCGGAGAACCCTATTTTTCACAAAACTGTCAGTTTATCCCCACAGCAAAGAGAAACCACATAATTTATAAGTACATAAGCATAAAGCAAAAACTAGATGGCAAAATCAGGTAATGCTGTATCATTTCCAGCAAGACACACTAGTCTAAACAGTTCTTTAAAGCTTATAGTGGAAGACACTGCTGCATTCATAACCTTTTTTTGCTCTCCTATAAACAAAGCAAATAGGGCATTTATTCTGGATGGTCTCAAGCTCCAAATGCATGTAAGCAAAGCTAATTTTAGTCTGGAATAGCCAGAAATGGCATGCCAAAACCTGCTTTCAGACATATATAGTGGTGTTCTTGCATTTATCATCACACAAAATTACCCCTGCTTTTAACACTGCATTTGCACAGTCCTTCCTTCCTCCCTCCCTCCCTTCCTCCCTTCCTCCCTTTCTTCCTCCCTTCCTTCCTTTCTTCCTTCCTTCTTTCCTCCCTCCCTCCCTTCCTCCCTTCCTCCCTTTCTTCCTCCCTTCCTTCCTTTCTTCCTTCCTTCTTTCCTCCCTCCCTCCCTTCCTCCCTTCCTCCCTTTCTTCCTCCCTTCCTTCCTTTCTTCCTTCCTTCTTTCCTCCCTCCCTCCCTTCCTCCCTTCCTCCCTTTCTTCCTCCCTTCCTTCCTTTCTTCCTTCCTTCTTTCCTCCCTCCCTCCCTTCCTCCCTTCCTCCCTTTCTTCCTCCCTTCCTTCCTTTCTTCCTTCCTTCTTTCCTCCCTCCCTCCCTTCCTTCTTTCCTCCCTTCCTTCCTTCCGTCCTCCTTCCTTTCCTTTCCTTTCCTTCCCTTCCCTTCCCTTTCTCTTTTCATTTTCTCATAACAGTCTGAGATTTAGTTGAGGTATCTTGACACAGTCAAAACAAGGCCAGGAAAAGAGATTCCACTTTACTGGGGAATGTGGACTGTGCCAGTACAGACTTAGGATGATGTTCTTGAAGTGGCATTATAAGAACTAAACACTTTGGACTGACTGAATCTTGATGAAAATTGAGCACATTCTGCCCCATGCCTTTGAGATTTGTTGCATGATGAAGAGCCATATGGGTGAGCTTTACAATTGTGACAAGGGAACTGGTGACACCACCCACTCCAGCACTTACAACAATGTAGTAATTCCTGGATTGTAGCCAGGGCATTCTGTTATAGTTAAAAAAAAAAATGCAGTACAAAACCTACACATTTTTATTTTAGTTTTGGTAAATCTGGATAACACATAGAGTACAAGTGTTCAGGTTTTTATGGTTTTTTTTTTATGTTAATTAACAAGCTCTCACTCATTCTCATTCTGGCTTATATCTTAACATACCAAGAATATTAAAAAGTTGAAATAAAATTCATATAATATGTTATGGATAGGTAAGTTACTGGTTTAACATTAAAAATTTCTAAATAACAATGATAAAACTGCGCATAAGAGATATATTTATCTCTTCTTTTGTAAAAAGCACAATTAGTGGCAAAGAATGCCATTTCCAACATGGGCTTTATCCTGCTAACATGTCTGCTAGGACAGCTGCTAGCTTATTTCCTACTAGGTAAAAATACAGTTTTTTATTTTTTTTTTTTAGTTACTGCAGTAAGTAGATGTAATTTTTATTTATTTTCTTAAATTTCAAAGGAGATTTCACAACTTTTCCAAACACATTTTTACATACCTAGGCTGTCCAATACAATGTATCAGTTCATTTTTTTTTTCATTAATCATTTATGTTTGGTCTAAATTGCAGTGAAATACAGGTTCACTTGCGTGCATGTTGTGATAATACCCACATTTGGTCAAGGAGTCATTAAGAGCACATACTAATGACTTGTATTCGTAACAGTGAAGATGATTTTTTGTCATCTCTTCTGCCTGGCTTGGGACAGGTGAGATTCAGCTGACAAAATTCCAAACAAAAACAATAAAATGTGAAAGGTTGCAAGGTTCTCTTTTACGGAAGATTCCTTATAGGCAAACACATGAGAAACAAATAAACTCTAACATCTCTATTTTATGTCTCAGCTGTAAACTGTATATTCTCAAAGCTGAAGTCAGTCAGACATCTAACACACGTTAATGAACCATCTCTGCTTTTGCAGATGCAATTAAAATCCTCATTATCTATGTAGCCTGGGTTAAAAAGGCCGATATCTGCTGTAGGACTAAACAAAAAAAAAAGCTAGCTAAACAGGAACAATGACATGAAGACAGAAAGTAGATGAAGACCCAGAGAGAAATGAAAAATTACTGAAGACCTTCATCTCTATTAGAACAGACTTTTCATTTCATGTTTGAAATTTACTTGGTGTCCTCCTGTAAGAATATGCTATATCATAATGATGGCTTAAGAAAAAACAACAGTATCTTGTCATCATATTCCATTCCTGCATAGGGATTTCCCCCATTGCTTCACTACTAATTACATTATTTGGAGCTGCTGTATTAGCGGGAGAAGAGGTAACCTGTATGTCATTCAGAGCTGCAGACTCCGTTTATATTAGATTGGAAATGGAGTATGTACTAGCTTCATGGTATCTGATACACTAAATTTGAGTGCGCACTACTCAGTCCATCTATGAACAAAGAACGAGCTAAATTATGCACAAAGTAATACACAACTATAAGCATCGAGTACACAGACACCACATTGACTAGATTTTCTAGTTTCTCATTACACTCAAGGCCTGTACTGTTACTGCATGCTAATTGCTTGTGGAGGTGATTACTATTCTGATCAGTGCTTTTTAGGGCACAGTCAGCAAAGAGTAGAGTTATTTTGAAACTTCACCAAGCAATTAGTGAAGAGAATGGATAGAACTGCATTTAGTTACATCAAAACATCTTTTTTTGACTATTTCTAGGCTGTTTGTGGCCTGCAGTATTAAGATAAACTCTCAAGTATTTAAAGTAGTACACCTTCTGCAATGGACGGCTTATTAAGATCAGGTTTTGGCTTAGCACTGATGCAATTTAGCAGCAACTTTATTATATAAAGAGCAATTAGTGAAGAAATGGGCAGGATTTAATTTGCTTAATTCAAAACAACTTTTAGTACCTCGACTATCCAAGGCCTGCAGTGTCAAGATAAAATGAAGCATTCTGATAAAATTACCTTCTGCGATGTATTATTAATTGCCAACAGGTACACACAGGCAGTGGCATTAATGTAGGTTGAATTTACATGCAGACAGTGATTCTATAATTAGACTGGTATACAGTGCTCGAATCGCAAAAAATAACTCTGTTTTCAAGTGGTGAAATGGTAATAGGATAAATAAAATTACAGCAAGCCTCTGGAAAGGAATCACTGCTGCCATGATGTTGCATAAACTGTGTGATCATTACAGCTATACAAATCCAAGAACATGGAAAGAAATACCTATACCAACACAACTCAGCATGGGGCTTTGTGGTTCCCAACTTATACAGTCAAGCACTTAGAACTGAATGCATTTTGAAATGGAAGTCATCCAAGGGTTCCTGAAGTATCAACTATTACTCAGTTATCTCCATCAGATACTTTCTACTGATTGAAAAGCTTTCTTGGATGATAAATCTCCCCTCTCTCTCACAAGTCTCTTTCTCTCGCCTCTTTTCCAAAACTTTTCTTGATCCTCACTCTTTAAGGTGTTTTTTGACGCATGCTGCTCAGGGACTTAGGTGCCTTTTGGTTGGCTCAGGGCCATGTCCCACGGTCCTGTTGCCTATCCTCCCTTGTTGCTTTGTACCCATCTCCTGTGCTGATGGGACGGTGTTTCCAGAGCCTGGGGAGAAGAGCTTTGCCTGTGCTGTTCTCTCACATTTAATTTTCTGAAAATCACATATTTCATTATATACATCCTTATAACAGGATGACACCTCATACCCTTGATTCCATACTATTGGTACTACAGAGGAACCAGCAGTTTCGATCCCTTCCTAATGTTTCTAATTAGCTGAAACAGCACACACGTACAAAGAAAGAATCAAGTTTCTCATGCAGTATATATATAAGTGCTTCAATGTAAGCAATGTGACTCAGTAACTGCACAGGTGAAACTAACATTTGCTATATACATAATTTTCATAGTATGGACACTTCTAACAAATGGCAATTTTATTTAAAAATAATTTTTTTTTGCATATATATACATGTATTCTGGAGACAAGCATCCCTTAAGTAAACACAAACGTTATGTGAGTGATTGCTCAGGCATGGTATCATTAACACTGTATTGTCCTATATATTGATTTGCTCCTCTTACCCTGGACCTTTCCTCCAGCTTGGTCATCATGACAACTGTAGCACCCCGCTGCTCCCACATCATTCTCCAGAAGTCTCCGAAGGTTTCAGGCAGTGCCCCTTGTGTGGCAATGTAGGCATTCTGCTTTCTATAGCCATCGATGTAGTTGGCGTTGATGTAGTCGCTGCCGGGGATGCCTGCAAGGAGAGAGGGGTGAGCAACCAGGCCGCGTTTCTGAGCTGCCCTGCTGTGGAGGGGAGCACTGCACTCTCCGGATCACTTAATCACTGGGTTCTACCTATAGTTAATAAATAATTAAAATTAAAATAATAATTAGTATTAAAAAGGATGCTGTTACCTAGAAGAGCAATGGTCTTTCTGCAAGGGAGAAACTTGTCCTGGAATCAAGTTTAGATTTTTTTTTTTTAAGACATAGTGAGAGGCACTTAGTTGACTACAGCTACATAATATGCCCATTTCCTTTTGTGAAGGCAGTGGTCAGTCAGTTTAACACTTGGAGAAGCAAACGGAGTGTGATACTTTGTTACCCATTTCTTTACCTAATCTCATCAACAATTGCGGCTGCACTCCTAACAAATTAAAACTAAAAACAAACAAGAGAATTGTCTTTTAAATTTTCTTAAATGAGAACTTTATTAACAGGGTGACCTTCTTGTCAGATACCTTGACTCATCCATGTTTAACTCTTCTGTTTAGCTCATCGCTTTGCTTTTAAATATAGGAAAAAGGGTTAAAGTTGCCACACTATTATTATTACTACATGCTTTTTTCCCATAAATTGATTACTGTCCTGTTTTATCAGAAGTTTTATTTTGATACAACGCATCATGGAAGTCAGGTTTAAGAAAAAGCCACATGTGTGACAAGGCACATGCATGAAATAAGTACCTCTGTAACTGAATAAAAATTAAATACCTGCACAAAAAGGAGTCACAAACCCAGACATGCAGACATGTGCTGGACACAACACACCATCTGTCATGTCTGAGCAGGACATACTGGTTGCAATGAAGACAGGGTTATTTTGAACTAATAAGGTGGCCGTGCTCACAGGAAGCAAATATATACTGACAGAGTCCCATCACCACTTAACACAGTGGTTCAGGGTCCAGCTTTAAGCTGGGCTATGTTGAAGATATATGTCTTGACATACTGACTTTATTTTATTTTTTACTTGCTTATATTATTTTAATAGTTCCATTACCCATATTAAATGTCTGTGCTGATGGGATAGTGAAGAAGTGTATCCAATGCTACTGCTGTGTTGAATACTGAGGTGTTTCCTAAAAGACTGAGCTCAAAGTTACAAAAATGAGTATCATAATTAAAAGATCCAAAAGGTATTTTTAAGTAATTAACACAAATTTATCTGAGCAGAAATTAATGGTTTATGTTTTCACAGCAAATCTGGTAGGCTCACATCTATAACCCCAGGAGATGGTGAAGGTTGCAAAAGCCGTTTCAGAAGAGCTGGGTGATACTCAGATAGTCTGTAGCTTTTCACTAGAGCTATGACTATTTCACTCTAAGAAAAATTGAGAAAAAAAAGCAACAAAGTTGAATTTCTTTGGGTATGAAGTACAATATATCGTTAAATATGTTTAAGAGATTTTTTCAAGCTTTATGTCAGGAACTGAAATCCTCCAAATCTACTCTGACCTGTTATATCCCAGGGTTGATCACAAACTCAATGTGGCACATTCCTGTCTATGTGAAAAACAGTGGCATATGAAAAGTCTTCTAAAATAATAGAAGAAGTTGGATGAACAGAATTTCAAAATATATATTCTATAAATATTCTACATTTATTTGTATACATATACTTTTTTTTTTTCTTGGAAACAATTTGAAGAGCTTTTCTCCCTATTCTGGATCAGATTAATATTTCTTTCCAGCAATCACTTAGCAATGAAGAAGGAAGCTGGAAGTTAAGATCCACAATATTCTTGAAAAGGTTCAGCTTACAGGATACTGTAGCTGAAATGTGGCTTAAAAATGTGTCCTTATGCCCAAGAAATTTTGATAGATTTTATAATTTTATATGTGCAAATTAGATTTAAACAAAAAAAAGCACCTTGATTCAACTTTCTATATGTGTAAATGAAAAATCTGACCAAATATTTCAGGGAAGAAAGGAGTTTTTAACTTTTGCTACCCAAAAGAAACAACAAATGGCAGTCCATATGCAAGATGAATGGCTGGACATGGGAAAGCTGGAAATCCTTAGAACTGGACAGCTATTCTTAGATCTGATTGGAAGACCCTTCTGACAAGGCGAAAGGGAAAGAACCATCTTTAAAACCTGCTCTGAATTGCCAAAACAGCATGATTTCCTCTCATAAAAGATAGAAATCTGAGTTCAAAAGCCTCACTCTTTTCAACTTGAAACTTTTTTCATGACATTTCTCATTGTGGAAATTGGAATTAATGACTTAGAAAATACAACTGCTAGGCACAATGCCATATTTTCTTCCCTTATCAAGATAATAAAATAATTTTGCACAAAATAGATGAGAAAGAAAAATGAAGCTAACATGAGAAATCTACACTGAGTATTATTACCAAAGGAACTGAGAAAGCTGGTAAGAAATGTTTTCTGCATAAATTAGAATTACATTATGATGCCTGGTATCATACTTTGAAGCATATGTTATAAATAAAAGCCTGAGGAAAAAAAAAAGAAAAAGAAAAACAACGCTTTGTAAAGTTAAATGATCTTCTGGGAAAGCTCTCCTCCGGAGCTGATGGTGCACAACTCTGTGTGAAAATTAGGCATGAGAAGCATTGCAAATAGTGCAGTAAAGAACGTTCTTTACAAATCTTTGCAGTTTATGCTATTAATACTTGATGTAAAAAATTAAAAATCAGATGTTTAAAATGGTAAATGTTTTTAATGTTTATTAACTTTATTAATAAATCATATTAAAATATATAATTTCAAAATTAAATTATTTATAATTATTTGAAATATAATGAAAAACGCTGATTCCCAGCTTACATCTTCCTTGATCACAAGCACAAGAAAAAGAAAATTAGGGTTAGCAATTAAAAAAAAGAAATTGCAAAGGGATTTTCTACTCCTTCATTTTCTTTTTATCAAGAAAAAAATAATCTTCCATATTCTTGAGCCATAAAAATGTACAAAGTAACCAGATTTCATAGGGTATGGAAAAGATGTGGTTAGGACATGGATAGAAAAGCCCATTTGCCACAGGTCATTAGCAACTGCAGACCCGGGAAGACCCATGTTGCTCAACATCTCTTATGGGAAGAAAATTTTGTTCAAGGATTTGTCTCTAAAAATGAGTTTCTCAGAAGTCCACACTCTACATGGCTATATCCCTGCTGGACTAAAGGATTCACAGCATTCATCTCCATTTCTCTGTCTTGCACAATATCCACAAGGTATTGCTTTTGTTCTCCATCTATTCTCCTGGTTCCTTTTGTACCATCCCTTCTTTTTTGGTACTGAATCCCTCCATCACCCTTTTCACATATCATCTTACTTTCACATTCCTTTCAAAAATCTTTTTATATTCTATAATACAATTTTCCTCACTTTCCAACGCATACTGTGTCACACCAGCACCAGCTATGTTCCCAGAAAGCGGATGTACTCATGTACTCAAATCATCTCCAGGGAAGGGGCTTTTACATAGCAGGTTCACTGAAGTATGTGTATAGTATAACACATGCACATACAGAACATTTTTAGTATCTACATTGACCAAGTGAGATGATTAAAGATAAATACATTTAAAGTGTCACTTTCTGCAATGACTTTTCTTACTATAACCTCATTCTGAGCTGAGAAAGCTGAACAACCCTCTGTCGAGTCTAATGGTGCAAAAACATTCAGATGACAACTAGTTTGACTGTGGTAGAAAGAAATCCTGCAAACCTTTGTTAGCTGCCGTAGCTTGGAGGCATTATACCCGTAAGCAGAGCAGCAATTGCCATCAATGCTTAAATTTGGTCATAATAGTCAAGAGAGGTCAGTTGTTTTGTAAAAGCACGGGTCAAGAAAGGGACAAAGCAACGAAATTCTGCCTTCAGAAATATTGATATGAAGCTTGACTAACTCTATTGGCAATAGAGGAGTTTAGTCCAGATTTGGGATGGCATAACTGAAGGGTAAATTCAGAGTAATCCACTTGGTATTACTTCATTTTTGCAAGTCTTATCAATAGCAGAGACATAGTTTCTGCATAAAAATTCAGCTAAAGACTGAGCCTCCAGATTGTAATTCTAACTATTTTCCAATAGCCTTTTTAACTATGATGATGAATGACCAGAGCCTACAATATCCTCATTCTGCCAGACAGGAATTGAGCACAATGGGGGCAGTATTAGATGAGTAGCTGAGCATAAAAGACAGCCCATTTTCAAATATCTCAGGAGAACAAAGCAGTCCAAATTTTACAAGAGAGAAAAAGAGTGAATGAGCAATGAAACAAAATTAGCCAATACCACAATTTAAGAACAAAAGAGAAAAAAAATCCCTCCATATCTACTGATTTATGATGAGACTGTTCTCATGAACTGAAATGACAGTGCAGCTTGCTGCTGCATACACAGGTATCCACACAAATGGCTAATAATGCAGACTTCAGAATTATCCACTTGATTTCATGAAGACTATGGAGGAAACCTATTCTTAAACAGCTTTAATTAGGCTCCATTTTTTATTCACAAACTGAAATAAAATCATGAAACTGTTTCAAGCCTTTAGAAAGGCTAAGTACTGAGCAACCTTTCCTTTAATTCCACAAATTAAACCACAAAACTTTCTATGCTGCTTCCCCAAGAAATGTACTGTTAGAGTGTGGAATAGGATTGAATTCTGTCATGCATGTAAACAACTTGGTAAAATGTAATGATAAACAGAAAATACTGACAAAGCTATGCTATTTGTTTAAATCAATGACTGATATTTTTAACTATGTCAGAGCACAAATAAATCTAATACAGATACTGGATGACAGTAAGAAAATGTCTATGAGAAAGCTGTTTGTAACACGAAATCTGTATAGTGAAGAACAGTCAAAGCATAAATCTGTAACACATGAATTCACTGGAAAAAGCAGTAGCACCAGCTAACAAAGACGTTTGTAATAATGAACACTGGTAAAATGAACAACTTGCACAAAGGCTGAGGGAAATGAAGCACATATTA